TTTTTTTTTTTGTTTCTACTTTTGTTTTTATTTTAATTTTTTTGTTTTGACGGATGTTTAGTTTTAAGCTTTGGTCATAGTTTCGTACCCATCATCTTTAACTTAAACTTTTTTTCATCTTCTTTTTTTTTTCTTTTTTTTTTCTTAAGTTTGTATCTTTCTGGTAGCGCTAAGTTGTGCGATTTGTTGGGAGATGTTTTTTTTTGGTCTTCGTTAAATCATCGCTTTCGTTGATCTTTGCTTTTTTGTGCCTGCTCATAGTTTTTTGGTTTCGTCATTGTACAATTGGAGCATACGCAGTTGTCATCTTTCCTCTTCCTGAACAGGGTCTCGTGGGTTTCACTTTAGTAACGTTTTTAAAATTTCATTGAGTTATTATGTACGTGTAGATTTCCTTCTGAAATTTCACTGGATTTGGCTAGATAGAGGAGGTAGCTGTTGTCCGCTTACGAGTACATGACGATCTTATGTAACTGGTATTGTTGGTGTTAGGCAACGTGTTAACAATTAACACTCATGACAGTTTATCTGCCATTAAGGCTAGCAGAGGTAGTTGCGTGAGTTTTAAGGAGCTAAAATGATGTTGCGAACACGCGTACCTGAGGTACTAAAGTATATGCATACGTAGTCTTTTTAGGGAGAACGATGGGTGAATTTTTCTTTAATATCGATCACGGATATTTGGAAGCACTTATTCGTGGGTTCAAGGAGGGTATTTTGACGCAGACAGATTATGCAAACTTAGTTCAGTGCGAAACTCTCGAAGGTACACGATATATTCTTGAATGGCTACTCACTAAAAGCTTTTTGTGCCTCATGGGTGCTGTTCGTAGTTTTTTAGTGTAGCTTTTTGGGTTGTTAATATTAATTTTTATTGATATATTTGAGATCTTTATTCAACGGTAATGCAGTGATGAGGCTTTTTGGATTAAATTGAGAATTAAAATTGCTTTTTCCAGATTTGAAATTGCATATACAATCAACGGATTACGGCAATTTTTTGGCTAATGAGCCAGGAGCGATAACTGTGCAAGTAATTGCTTGTTTTAGTAGCTTTTGCATGTATTTTATTCAGTCTTTTAAAAAGCATTGCCGAGTTTGTGTTTTTCCTGTTTTGTAGCTTCTTATCTGACAATATGATAATCTGCGTTAGTGGTCGTTGTTTTAGGTAATTGATGAAAGGTTGAAAGAGAAACTGGTGACCGAATTCAATCATATAAGGAACAATGCCCTGGAACCACTATCAACGTTTTTGGATTATATTACGTATATAGTTTATTTTCTCTTGGATTTTTTCCGCATTGCAGTCAATAGTTTGCGAGGATTTAAAACTGTAATTTTAGGTATTCGTATATGATTGATAACATCATATTACTAATCACCGGCACTTTGCATCAGCGTCCAATTAACGAACTTATCTCGAAATGTCATCCACTCGGCTCTTTCGAACAGATGGAGGCAATACATATTGCTTCAACACCTGCAGAGCTTTATAATGCAGTTTTAGTTGATACACCGCTAGGTATTTTAAGCATTTCTTCAGTCAGAATGTTTTTACAATTTGGAAAACTTTAACCTTATATTTTGTTGACCTTCGTAACGAAGTAATCGTTGAACACTTATTTTGTTATTGAAGATGTAGTTTACTGGAATTTTTGTGTGGTTTAGCACCTTATTTTGTCGACTGTATCAGCGAGCAGGACCTTGACGAGATGAATGTTGAAATTATTAGAAATACGTTGTACAGGGCGTACCTTGAAGATTTTTACAAGTTTTGCAAACGCCTTGGAGGGAAAACAGCAGAAGTTATGAGTGAAATCCTAGCAGTTAGTTTTTCAATTTCATATTTTTTTAAATGAAAAGTGTAGCTGTTTCCACTGATTGTTGCTGTTCAGTTCGAGGCAGATCGTAAGGCAATTATTATTACCATCAACAGTTTTGACACGGAACTTTCTAAGGACGACCGCGCCAAGCTTTATCCTCGTTGTGGAAAGCTTTTTCCAGAAGGTTAAGATTGCCACATAGCGGTGATTTATATGGTCTCTTCAGCTCTCTCACATTAGTTCTTCTGTGTCAGATTTTAAAACCTTTGTTTTTAATTCAAGGCCTAAACGGTTTATCGAGGGCAGATGACTACGAGCAAGTGAAACAAGTCTGTGAGTATTATGCGGACTATAGGTCACTGTTTGAAGGTGCAGGCACACAGCCTGGTGAAAAAGCTTTAGAGGACAAGTTTTTTGAATATGAGGTTGGTGCTTGTTTACCTCTTCCTAATTATCTGCTTCCTAATTTTTTTTTTAAAGCAGTTAAATATCGTTTAATAATGGAAACAAAGCAACGGTTTTGGAAATAATTATTTTTCAGGTAAAATTAAATGTGATGTCTTATCTCCATCAGTTCCATTTCGGTGTATTCTATGCCTTTATAAAGCTTAAAGAACAGGAAATGCGTAATATCATCTGGATTGCAGAGTGTATATCTCAAAGACACAGAGCAAGAATTGATAATTACATTCCAATTTTGTGAGCACTTTATGTCAGTACTATTGTGTTTTCTGAAGGTCGTGTTGTCATTTGGGTTCTGAGTGTTCTCTTACTCTAGTTTCACTATGAGGGAAGTTTTTTTCGTATTTAGGTTTAAGGAGTTCGCTAGGGAACTTTTGGATGGTATTTTGACAATAGTTTTTGGAAAATTTTGAATGAAGCTGTTGGTGCGCGACTTTCAGGGGTGTGTTTCATTCTTAGTTTTGTATGTAAAATTTCAAGATAAGGTTGTGATGATTGTTTTCCTTCTTTTCTTTCAGTTTATAGTTATGAAACTCCTTGGCTTTTCCAAAAAAAAAAAAAAAAAAAACATGCTTGTTACAGTGGGGCAATATTTGTATGCTCTTTGTTTCTTTTTATAATATGACTTCTGTTGAATCTGTGACAATCATGGGGTAACAGGTTCAATTTTTTGTCTCTAAAGTCAAGTGTATTTTTTTATATTGAACTTATTGAATTTTTTTGCTAATGTTGATATAATTTGAAAAAGTAGCCAATTTTTCTTAGCTCTTCTGTTAGTGAAAGATTACTTAAATCTATTGTATAGGATTATTAGCAGTATCCGCACCTCTTTACCACAATCTTCTTTGAACTTTTTTTTCCTTGTGAATTTGATTGTGATTCGAAGATGTTTATTTATTTTATGAACTGTTTTGAAGGAACCTAATTATTTGAAGCGGGAAAATTGATTAATTTATATTCTGTCTCTGCAAAGTAAATTTATTCTCTCGGAAAAAATGCGATTGTTGGTCACTGTAATGAGTAGGCTTTCTTTCAAAATACTTCTTTATTAGTCTGCCGCAGCAAGCACGTTAAAATAAAAATTCTGATTGGGACTGCTGACTGGTGCACATCTGAAGCCTAGGTTGTTACAGCTAATATGATATTCTTCCGTTGTTTGCTTAAAGTTATGTAGTTTTGGTTAACCAATGACTTTATGAATTGGTTCTAGGTCTATGTCCACTTTAAGGAAGCATGTATTGTTGACGACGAAGTTTGTTTCTTCGCTCATCAGGCGAAGGTCAGTGAAAGTTTTGATTCCAAAGGCAGGGTTTCGATCCGAACGCGGTCTGCCTAGGAATGGCATATTGTTTTCGGTGATGCGTGGAGTGACGGTAGCTTCAACTGTAAATGTGGATACGGGTATTATTACACATTAGTCTTATAGTGCTCGAATAGTTTGATCTTACTGGTTTTGCATCATGGCAATGTGTAATTGTCATCCGAAAGTTGGTAGTACTACTAAGTCAACAGTAACTAACCGTCTTTGCCACTTTTGAGATTCACCAAAGTGAACGTTATGGGACATTTGAAGGGCCAGGGTAAAATCGCATCATTATCTCCGCGTAAAATTGTGAGGAATACAGAATTGTATTCACCGATTGCTACAAGCACAGCCCTATTTCATTTTTCGTGAGATTTTCGAAGAGATAAACTTAGTTAATTAGTTAGGAGTAGCTTCACTGCCTAGTAATCTTTTGCTTGTGCAAATTTTGACATTAAGAGTGTGAAAACATTTTTGCATCTGGTGAGTAAGTTCGTAAAATCGTACCGTCTCCATCACCGTAAAGTGCTATAGCAGCAGCAAGTTTATAGCCTTGACGGTGTGAGTAGAATGGCGGACTGTATATAATAGAACGACGGCCACGACGTGCTTCCAAGAAGGATTCTTTGTATCCATCAATGCGCCATATGTATTGTGAGCTAAATGAAGAAAGGATTTTTATCGTATCTCTGTTATCCAATTCGACTCAAGTTTGCCGCTATTACTTTTGAAAAATCCATGCTGTTCTATCTTAATTGATGCAGTTATTATGAATTATGAATGATTTTTAGGAAAGTCTTTAAGACAGTTTAAAGGGCTAGGGAACTTTTGCTTTGCATAATATTTACAGTAAGAAAATACCTGTATAAACTTCCAATTTCGTTAATTTTTCTAACAGTTACTTCAGATTCTTCATAAAGTTTTGTAGACTGTTCAAGCGATTTTTCTGTTTCTTTGGACAGGTCTTTCACTGTCTTGCACATCATTGTTAGATGTTGTACGCTACAATATAATTGAGTGCTTAAGTTTTTCACTCATATTATTGATTTTTAGTATTGGGTTGATGTGTTTCCCAAGAAATTTCGATGAGTGACTAAGTTTTTGTATTTGCTGGTGCATCATATGTTTCATCCCGCACCGTACAACAAAAGTGAATTAAAATGTAGAAAGTTGGGTGCCTTTCAGTTGCTTTGAAAGAGGGAAATGAGGTTGATAGAGCGTAGTTTTACGCTGAGATTGAATTGTTTATTGGTGTCGCGGCAGATTTTCAAACGGAAAACAGTTCTGGAAGTATTTTCCACTATAGAACAGATGTTAGCGGTAGGCGAAATCTTTAACTTTCAAGATCAGAGGACTGGTAAGTGACTGAATTCCTCTTTATCTGTCAAAGGTAGGTATCATGGCAGCTGTAATAGTTTGGAAACAGTTTTTGATGATGGAAACTCTTGAAGAGAATGCTGCCATTTGCTTTCTTCGGTTGCGTATTTCTTTTATCAATTTCTTAATATACAGCTTGAAACTCTCGGCAATCCATCCTCTTTTACAGTCCAAGGATTGTGACGTTGACGGTATGCGAAGACTTGGAGAGTCTTCGAAACACGGTTCAAAATTTCTCGACATTGTTTTTTTCAGCATGGGGTGGACCAATGTCACCATTTAGTTGCATTTCTGTTTCAAAACGGGGATTACCTCAAAGTTCTCTTACTATCTGAGTTCTAGCTTAGGGAATGACTATGTACCGGACAAGCGAATAACTTTGAAACTGTGTTCATAGGCTTCTTAGAAGGACATTTGAAAAATAAAAACTTAAAATA